TGCTATTATTTAATACCAAGTTTTGGCAATTTAACCTTTAAATTGCAGCTTAATGTTGCTGTGTCATTTTGATCTGCTCTACACATTTGAATGGCACTGAGGGCACACTGTAGTCTAATTGCAGCTCAAATAAAGCAGCTACAGTTTCACTTTTAAACATGCTTTTGGCTGTTTTTTCCTTTCTTAGAAAAGCAAAGTCTATGCTTTAATAGTATGAGGCTTTTGATAAAGCCATCTTAAACAAATGTATCCATGCAAATAAGGTATTTCCAAAGAAGTTTAGGAGGAGAGATGGTATCGGTATCGGCAGATACTCAAAGTTGAAGTATCGGTATCGGTATCGGAAATCAAAAAGAGGTATCAGTCCATCCCTAACTTCATTTATCCCAGAAGGGACATTCAATCTTGTAAAAGCTCACTTTCTCTCTCTCTTTTTTTTTAATCAATATAACATATATTCCACACAACAGCAACAATAATCATTCAATCTAGTGGCACCAGTTTTTGTTTTGCAAAACTCAGAAAAAACTTGTGTCTTCTGCAGGAAGTTCTGCTGATCCTCCTCCAACGGGTCAACAAGCACCATGGGCACAGCACTCCTCATCCTCCAGGAGATCTGCACCAGGAGGACTTTGATCAGGACAAACTGGATCATAGAGGAACCTCGGCAACAGACTGTTTGAGTGGCAACGTTCTGGCCGACGTCTGAGGAACATGTTCCAAATTTTAACACAGCAGATGACCACATGGAAGCCATCAAAATGAGACACACGTATAAAAGGCAGCTGTGGAATAATCAGTTTGTGGTGAACAGCAATCAAGGAGATAAATGACCTGAATGTCACATTTAATCTTTCTGCTCGACACTGATGTTTCATCTGAAGTTCTTCTGATCTGAAGGTGCTAACATTAACCAGCCTACAACATATCAAGTCACAACCAGCTTACTCAGTGATATTTAGTGAGCAATTTTACATGTTTTATGACCTTCAAAAAGTAAGTATTCGTCACCAATTTTCTGGAATCTCTTTGAATGCATCGTCCACAACCAGTTTCCGTAGTGTAGTGGTTATCACGTTCGCCTAACACGCGAAAGGTCCCCGGTTCGAGACCGGGCGGAAACATGTTTTTGTTTGTTTCGTCTGTTGCACGTACCAAAAAATCCCCCAAATTTTTATTCCTCTTGTAGGCCGAAATCACCTGATAGTTTTGTAGAAATCCCTGATCTGCAAATATTGTTTGATAATTAGTTTTGAATTTGTGATTAAGAATTTTGCTAACCGATAAAAATGTAGTGATCAGTTGAACAATCTTTTTGTTTGTCCCTGGTTTCCTATCTGTACATGACCTCAAACAATTCCTCTAAAAAGGCATCAGAGTGAACGGTGTGAACAGTTTCATCCAGTTGCTGTTTTCATCCACAGTGATGAAACAGCGCCCCCCAAATCTTATTAGTGGCCAAAAATATATGACATAGCCATGAGGACCGTCAGAGAGAAGCTGTGATTGGCTCCGTGTGGTCACATGACTATGTTCAACTTCCTCGTTAGTATAGTGGATAGTATCTCCGCCTGTCACGCGGAAGACCGGGGTTCGATTCCCCGACGGGGAGTGAGGCTTGTTTTGATTTTTTTTTCTTCTTTTTAAAAAAAAAAAAATTAACTAAATGTCAGGGCAGAGTATTGATACATCATTTAGAGGCTCTGATTGATAAATGAATTAATATCAAAATTGAAGGGCATGATGAGATAAATAATTGATTATCAGCATTATGTCTAAATATTAGTTATAAAACCTTATTTCTTATTTATCTGGACCTAACAATGAGATTTTCATCAGACTTTTAATGTAGACTCACTTAGCATCACTACAGTGTTGTTAGAAGCTTGCTAAGGTATTTATAGTGGAACTTTGGGTGTTCTTTCTGATTGCAGTGGTTGTTGAGTAAGACAAGGTGACATAACTGTGTTGATTCTCAGGTGCAGACAGAGTTTTGTTCCTGAAGGGGGCAGGAACTGATCATCACAGCCTGGTGGTCCAAATATAGCAGAATGTCGGTCTGCTCTGACATGGCCGTAAAACTACTTGACNAGTATTCATACATAACTTCAAGCGCTCTGATTGTTAATGAATAAATATCCAAATAAAAAGGCGCAAAAAGGTAAATAATTGATTATCAGCAAGTATTTCTAAATTGACTAAATATTGCCTATTTCTGTATTTCTTCTCCTTCTTTCTGTTTAAGTTCAAGGGCGGAATTTTACGTAAAAAAATAGGATAAGACTTCTTTGATACACTCTGTTTAATATTAGCTGGGACGTTATAGTAAAACTTCAAGCATTCCTCATTTCATTTAGGTGTGAATGACTTCAAGAATGAAATAGTAGCAACAAAATAAAACAAATAAAAATAAAAATAGGATGTGCATTTGTATTCATTTATATCTTTTTTTATTATTTGTCAAAACTTTGAAACAGCGCCAGGAATCTATAGAGCTACATGTTGTGGTCAGAAATGGTACTGCAGCCAGCAGGCTTCAACAGACTCTTCTCTGAGTTACATCCAAATCAACTACAGACAGCAACATTTTACTTCATTGTCTTTGTGGCTGCCCTGAACTTTCAAAATATTTGCTAGATATTTATAGATTTGTTTGCAGGAGTCCAAGCTGTAGATATTGTTTGCAGGGAGGAGCTCAGCTGTCCTCTTTCAACCTCTGAACCTTCAGATTAGTGAAACTCAGAGTCTGGGGTTTCAGACGCAGGAAGCAGCTGATACAAAATGCTGAAAACAGGAAATCAAATCATGTGCTGACCAGAAAAACCATCTGGCCAACATGGTGGCATGACTTACCC